AGAATCAAATTTTGCTTTCAATAACCATATAATCTTGAATTTCACATGTTTTGAGTTACAACATTGAAATTATTCTTCCCCTTTTAATTTTAAATATATTTGGTAGTTACGAAATTGTTTAGATGTCTGTAATAAACTACACATAAATAATATAAATAGTAATAATACATACATACATACATTTTTGAGTTAATGCACTATTGTATTAACAGTGCGGCATTACGTATGTTCTGTTAAGTTTATTATGTTAAGCGTTGTAAACAATATATAGTAATCATACAAGAAACGTTATTGTTTTGTTTTATTTTTCCTTGTTTATGCTGAATCTATTGTAAACTTAAAATATTGGCGTACACATTAAAACTGTGTTTGCAAACTATGCTCATGTTTTTAAAGCTGTTTTGTATGAAGAATTCTCGATTTTCATTTTGGGTTTGTACTTGTTACAGAGTTAGACCAGATCCTAGGATAAAACTATTAGCGCCTTATAAGGAAAAAACGTTAAACAGAACCTAAGACTCAATTTACATTGTCACGGAACGGTATTGAAGTTACGTTACATTGACATAAAGTTTTTTCCGCGGCGATATAAATTGAGTATAATGGTAGTTTTTCCACCGGCAAGATCGAGACGAGGGGAGAAGAGAATTGAAATCTCGCCGAGATATTTCCACCAGTGCTGTTCAGTTCATCTAGCGATAAATACGCGGCTGAAGTAACATGTCCCGTAAATTATTATTATTATTAAATATGTTAACGGAAGACGAATCAGATGAAATCGTCTTTTTTTTAATCTTAAGTCGTAAATACCCCACAATCTCGCGATTGATTTGATTGATAGTGCGGGCATTCACGAACGGCGCGAGAAATCCTGTTTCCGTTGCAGAGTATAATACTCTACGTAGGCAGCAATATGGCAAAAGCAATATAATAATATTTCATATTACATCAACAAATATTTAAATTCTCGCCTCACTCATCCTCGTCAATCCAGACGATTTCCACCGAAGATGGTCTAGAACAGAATTGAAATTTTGCCACACAAGTTTTAATCCTCGTCTCGCCTACTTAGTGGAAAGCATGTCCATACAACACAGCACTATGGGACCTGTAAAGGGCCTGAAACGTTGGTTTCTTTGAGAAACAAAAATACGCAATTTCAATCCGGGTAAAAATAGTTTCATTGCCTATGTGTAACAATCGCGAAAACCTAAGAACTCGATGTTTATTTGTATTTAATTTTTTTTTCTTCACTTATTTAGAATAAAGAACAAACAGTAATTTAAGTTTAAAAGGCTGACTGTATAATAATTTTTATTGGTTGTATTTTTTTAAAGATTTCAATCCTCGTCTCGTCTCGCCTCGCCGGTGGAAAACCGTCTTAAAACTACTCTAACCTGTTGTCGCTTTTTATTATTGAGTGTTCTATATTTCTCCTTTATCACAACCTGTGACCTTCGCAATCCTGCCTTAGTACCTCTACGTCATGACGTATTTCCTCCATTTTCCATCAATACTTACGGTATTTGAAAACAATATGTTTTAAATTGCAGTTATAATGACGTACATAAACATAACCAGCGTGAAGCTGTTCGTTAAAGTACAAAACGTGTTCGGCATCTGCAAAGTCGCGGCTTGCCTTATCGTCATAGGAGGTGGAATCTACGAGATCGCTAGAGGTAATATCTAAAATCTTTTATGTTTTTATCAAGTGTAAGTATGTATCATGGGCGACTCAAGATAAATAATGCACAGCATCTATTTTCAACTTCCGTGCAGCGTGTGATACGCTATTTGGTCACGTAACACGTAGAGATACTGATAACCTGTGGCGGTGGTGATAGTGACAAAGAACCTAAAGATAGATCTAATTGCAGGAATCTCAAACAATGGTTAAATCAAATCTCCGAACAATTCTCCACCAGGTGCCTAAGCGCACACATGATTAACAGCAGAAAATTGAGTCACAATCCTAAGGCTCAACTCATACTGGCGCGGAGTCGAAGCGTCGCGTCCTGTTTTTCAACTCCATCGCCAGGCGATACGCGTCGTTTTAGTGCGCCGGGATCACAGTTTGATCGGCGTCTGACGCCTCACGGCGCCCAAGTGACACGCGTCACTTCGCTTCGACACTGCGCCAGTGTGAGTTGAGCCTTAGAAGTAAGGATACGATCTAATCTGTGTAGATCTGTCAAAAATAATCTATGAGATCTGTCAAAAATAAGTACCTAAACTTGACAAAACTGCATTTTATCTAAGGCCCGAATTGATAAATCCATTTCACGTACTTAACGCGTTCATGCACAGGGTTTACCGTAAAATTAAATATTAGATTAAGATAGTACGGTTCTTTTTTCCGTTTCGCTATATTATGCATCTCAAACCATTGTAACTTTTTTATTAAAAAAAAAACCATCAAATTTCGTGGAATTACATCTATTTGCCAAGTTTCCATCGGTTACGGAAAGTTCGTCCCCTCGGTTGCCACCCTTGGAGGTGAAATATTTTCTTCAAATTGAAATGGGACTAGTATTGTGCTACCCTCTTTCCAACAAAAAAAGAATCAAAATTGATTGCCGGAGTTCGAAGTCGGTTAAAAATTACAACTCTTGAAGGCCTGTCAAGAAACTGTGTTCAAATTAATGTTTGTGTGTTTAATGGCCGACCTCCATGGTCCAGTAGCTTGCACGTGATGTTGCCATCTCTAAGGTCCCGGGTTCGATCCCCGGCCGGGTCAATGTAGAAACTAACTTTTCTTTGTCTCGGGTGGTTGTATGTGGTACAGTCGTCATTTCCGATTTCCTTAACACAAGTGCTGCTTTAGTTACGTAGGTACTTTGGGATCAGAGTCACGTGTGCTGATGTGTAATATTATTTTCACTTCTCATGTTCTTAAAGTTGGTATTTATGCTGGGTGTAGTGTAGACTGCATAAAATAGGATTTTATGCTCTAGTGCATAAAATAAAAAACCCTAATTAATAAATAATATATGTGTATAATAATAAAGGTGTGGCGGCTTTAGACGCCGCCTATTATCACCGGCTGGCTGTGGCAGTCTCTTTGGACGAGAGTCGCCAAGGAGAGTGTCACACTTGCCGTAAATGTTTGACAGTTTTTTATTACATATATTGTCATGTCAGCGATTGCGAATTGTCTGCTCGATTTGATACAATCCTGTAAAAATCACGAAACAAAATAATTATAATTATAATTCACAAAGTTCATGAGGCCGTTTTATTGTTTGTTAGGGGAGCAATAAATACCCCAAAAAAGTCTATTTGTTGTAATTTTACATTCAATTTTAATTAAATAATCGTTTATTTGTAATATTTGTAATATTGCTGTTTAATTTTCTCGCAATCGAAGTGAAAAGCAGAGTGTATAACTCGTTCATAAAGCCCATTTTACCCTCAACTTAAGTATCCACTCTCGTCTGCAGCTCTGGTGGAAATACTCGTCTCGAGTAATATGACGCGTTTTATGCACTTGTTGTACAATCTGCTACCTATATATTTTACTTTTATATAATTATTTTATATACAAAATATTTTACTTGTTTTAGTTTAATATTTGTTTTATTGAAACTGTATTAAATATATACATGTATAACAGTTTGAATGTCGTATATATAATAATGGATAGCCAATGGGCCGACTCATAGATATAGTATCTACGGGCCGGCCATATCTGTCGAACGTCCGATACCGATGGGGGAAACTTTTTTCTGTGGAAGAAACGAGTCCTTGTGTCCTTGTCTGCCGAGTATAGAACGCCGTCTGGCCAGATGGAGTGATGATCTGCAAAAGGCTACTGACAGCAGATGGAGACGACAAGCTGAGGACCGGGCTAAATAGCCTATGTCCAACAGAGAACGATTGGAGGCATTTGAGATGTAGTGCTGGAGAAGAAACAAACAAACAAATAGATATAATTCGATGAGTTTTTGAGGTCGACTTCTTTTTGATAAGAACCTAATAGAGTTCATTAATTTATTAATTTAAGCAAAAGATAATAATTTTACATAATTTTGGCAGGGAAATATTACGACAATTTTATCGGTCAAAAGTTTGTTATTGAACGAAAACGACGCCTAACTTTGTTTTACTAAACGATTTTATTTTTTATTTCCCGCTAAATAAAACTTCCTACAACGTTTCTAAAAGAAAGAAAATAACATGAGCTCTCAAATTATATTTTTGTAATGTCATTAAAATATATATATAACCGTCATTGTGAATAAAAACCGCCGAAGTATTTTAATAACCGGCAATCTGTCTCACTACCGCTACACATGTCTCTCAACCCTGACATTGGCAAAATCGTCGCGCAAAACGACGGAGCCATAGACACAAAAGTTGAAGTTGAAGTTGATTAATACACAGTTTTTAAGGATGTCGACCCACCGTCCTTTATGCGAATAGAGATGGATTATATTGAATGAAAAAGTTAATCATGAGTCAATGTAAACTTAATAATTTATGTTTAGGCCCTTGCCTGCACTACACGCTGCCGCGATCCCTATTAGATTAAAGCTCGCGGCTTAGAATAATAACGCATAGAAACCTAGTCCGCACACGCTAAGTGAGGCAAATTGAAGCGCTCCCAAAGGGCCTACACGAGCGGGCGGGCCGTCAGTGCTCAAGGTCAACTTGCACCGCGAACAGATCAAGAATTTTAGCTAAAAATGACGAAATGTGCGGTAAATGAGTGTAAAAATGCGTCAGACAAACATAAAATAGATACTAACATCATATTCCACAAGGAAGTAACGCGTTTCAACTTGTGATTTTATATAAATATTCACTAAAACAGAAAATTAACCTACTACTAAAACTAGCCTACATGAATTTGAATTTTGCCTCACTTGTGACAGTTCGTTTGATATGAAACTATCATTCTATGCGTTATTATTCTAAGGCTCGCGGCTGCCAAACTTACTGGCGAACGGAGCCCCCGCTCCGATCGCCCGTAGCTGCGATGGTGCACCGCCGCCGAGCGGAATCGACCCTCTCCCGATCACGCTCGGCAACCTCCTTCTGAAGCATCACAGGAGACCACTGACTTATGGGACTCTTGATCCGCCAACATAGCCGCTACTACGCCTGACGGAGAGAGATCTCGCCCGATTCGGGCAACACTGAAACATGCTCTGCTCTGATGCTTGTCTTGGCCAGCAAAACATCCGTATCCGCAATAACTCGATGTCGGTTAATTCGGATGTCGGATATGGATGCAAATATTTAAAAATACGCAGATGATCCACGACTGCGGCATCCCTAATACAAATAAATATCTGCGTATAGATTACATTGTTGGTGGCAACAAATCTGTTATAGCTTTTTGATTAAAATTTCTTATCTTTTAGGTAACACAAAGAACCTAAACAAGGGTTTCGAAGGCAGCAATATGGAGGCGGGCGGTATCGCATTGGCTCTGTACTCTGGATTGTGGGCGTATGACGGATGGAATAGCGTCACCGTCGTCACTGAAGAGATTATTAACCCGGGAGTGTGAGTATGATAGCAAACAAGTGTATATGTCGCAGCCGTATTGTATGAAGTGCCGTATTACATTACGGCTAGCCGGTTTGCAAAACCGCGCTGTTAATACGGCTAAAGAAAAGAAAGACTGCCGTCCGCTTTTTGTGAGATATCACAAAAACCATAACCTAGTTTTGGAATATTGAAATTGTTTAATGATATTTCAGACTTAGAATAATAACGCATAGAATGATAGTTTCATATCAAACGAACTGTCACAAGCGAGGCAAAAATCAAATTCATGTAGGCTAGTTTTAGTAGTAGGTTAATTTTTGGTTTTAGTGAATATCTATATAAAAATACAAGTTGAAACGCGTAACTTCCTTGTGTAATGTGATGTTAGTATCTATTTTATGTTTGTCTGACGTATTTTTACACTCATTTACCGCACATTTCGTCACTTTTAGCTAAAATTCTTGAGCTGTTCGTGGTGCAAGTTGACCTTGAGCATTGAAGGCCCGCCCGCTCGTGTAGGCCCATTGGAAGCGCTTCAATTTGCCTCACTTAGCGTGTGCGGACTAGGTTTCTATGCGTTATTATTCTAAGATTTCAGCTATGCATCGTTAGGGTAAGTTCCGATAAGTCAAACACGTTAACTAATTTTAATCGTTTTTAAAAGAGAATTTTGTGCTCTATTTTTTAACCGACTTCAAAATTTCATTTCAATTTCAATTCATTATAGCGCTTAATTTTTATTATAAGGTGCAATTACTTTAATGGTTGATTTTGCTATTCTCCAATTCAATGCGTTTTTCTCTCAATATACTTTCAGTAGTGAGAACCGATTTTTATTATCTCGTTGGCGCACTTTCCGATAACCGATTTCAATAAAACTTGGTAATTAAATGTAATTCCACGTACTTTTGAGGTCGGTGCTATTTAAAACGGCTATTTGACCATTTGATACTTAGCCTTTTAGTGGACGGCAGAAGAGAAATCATTCTTTGTTAGTAAATTTTCAAATGGCACGAGTCGCTCTACTACTACGCTACTTTGATCTAATTTAATTCATTTTAAAAGCGACCATTTAGCACCACTCCCGTATAAAGTGTGATTGCCGTTACACCCACTAGCTATTACTTGATTGGATTTCATTTCTATTCTTATTCTATATTTCACGACTCCATTAAAATGTATGCATTTCAATATCGTGAAAAGATTATTGTTATTATTATTTATTGAACATTGGCTATAGAGCCATCGGCTTAAATATAATAAGTAATTAAGAAAGTCATAATACTTTTAAATTAAAAATTAATTTGTCTAAAAACTGTAAGTGCGAAACAAAAACCCGCTTTTTTATTTATTGAGCATTGGCTACGAAGGCCATCAGCTTAAAAACAAAAAAAAATATAAAAAATTCGCCATTTTTTTTGTTTATTTTTTCACATAAAAACCAATCACTCCAAAAAGATTAATAGCAATCTAACAATACAATACCATTGAACTTAAAAAAATTACAGTTACGAAAACAAATGATATTTTGTTCCTTTCGTCTAAAAAGAACAGGCTAGAGACATAGATCATACTGCCTCGATGTTAATCTTACTTTAAAACATTTTTAAGTGTTTTAAATTTTTGTCTACAGAAATGTTCCACTTAGCATATCGATAGCAGTCCCTCTAATAACGGCTCTATACGTGTTCATGAACGTCGCATACATGACGGTTCTGAGTGTCACGGACATGATATCAGTGCCTGCCGTGGCTGTAGCCTTCGGAGAGATAGTGTTGGGAAGGGCTGCGTTTTTGATACCCCTGGGAGTGGCTGTATCGACTTTCGGATGCGCTATGAGTGTCCAATTTGGTGTTACTAGGTAAGTTTTAGTAATTTTTAACCGACTTCAAAAAAAGAAGGAGGGTCTCAATTCGATTGTATGTTTATTTTTTGTATGTATGTTACGCGAGAACTCAGGCATTTGTGAACTGATTTAAGGGTGGCAAACTAGGGGATGAATGACTTTTGAGGTCAATTTTTTTAGTACTCTATACTGAGATTATTGTTGCCAAGTACCGTCAAACGTCAAAACGATCTATTGATTTGACAATCAATCTGTTTAGGGTAATTATTCTAATTGAATCCACTAGTAATTTTGCGTAATGACATCTATTAAAACTGTTATGTACTACATGGGTTTTTGAAAAATATAAGGTAACAATGAATGCGCTTGAAGGCATTCAGATGACAAGTTATTGGTAGCTGTCATGAGAGGTCTATCGCCGCCTGGGGCCGGTTTTACTCCGCACCATTAACCTCTCGTGTTTGCTCGGATACTACAAGTAGGCGCGTATACACAACCAATAATACATACTTACATATCCAATTGCTGTAATGATCTGAAGTTGTCACCATTTAAGTCGTACGTTATGAAAATTAGAATTGACCAATCGCAACGACTTGACAAATTTAAAACCATATGCTTTGATTGGTTAATTTTCATTAACCGTACAATTTTAATCCACCTAATTGGTTACTTTTCAAAACTATTTTTGTATGATTAAAATAGACTAATAGATACGTTGTTCGTGTATTTCAGAGTATGTTACACTGCTGCTCAGGGTGGCCACATGTTAGAGCTATTCTCGTACGTCAATATGAAACGATTGACTCCCGCCCCCGCAGTGGCCTTCCAGGTAAAACACTATCCCCTTTACGACCATTAATTAAATGAAAGTACAAACACTGTAGTCACTTAGTCGAAAATATAGTTAAAGTTAATATGGAATATTAGATACGATATTGGATATGTCCGCCATTAAAAGAAATAACAACGTACCGCTTTTAGTTTACATTATATGAATTACGATCTAGTAGTTTGAGGCTAGAAGGCCATTTAACTTAAACTTAACTTAATTTAGGTGCTGATTAATAATGTTTAAAAATATGTTTAGTAAGTTGTCTATACTCTATTATGATAATGACACGTGATTTGTTGATGTATTTAATAGTACTACTCTACACTGATCTATCACTGTTTGACACTAACTTTAAAGGCTTAGTCCTTTTTAGTTTTTTTAATACAGTTGCTCAAAACGTGATATTTTTTGTACTATAAATCGTGCCCTGCACTAGTGCTTTTTGCTTTTCCATTTTTTTAATGTACTGTTGTTTCATGTCTTAAACATAGAACTAAAAAAGTTGTATATTTATTTAATATTTATGTGCTTTGTGACGTAAGTCATTCGTCATTAAAACTCATATTTACTTACAAACTCTTACTTGTTTAAATTGCATAGGTGTTTTATAAAACAACAGGTTACAAAAAAAAAATTGATGAATCTTATTGCGAGTAAAGGGATTATTTTTATTTATTTATTGATTTATTTATTATATGGCCAATCAAATTTCATTGATAAAACTTAAATATGATATTACAAAGTTATATACCAAATTGCAATCCTACATATGTTAACACATCGTTGTAGAGTAACAAGAAAGATCTTTTACTTACTTAATTAATAATATACTTATTTACTAAATACAAAAGCGATATGGGTGAGTACCTATATAAGTGCTACAAGAGTTTCTATTATTTTAAATATTCTGGATCTTTAGTGAAAAATACTCAAACCGGAGCTTTCATAGATATATCGTCATAAAGCCACATTTCTTATCAAGGGATTATAAAAGAGATTATTTAATAAAATACCAGATGCAGTTAAAGAACTAAATTGTAGGCAATTTAAAATAAAATTACATAATTTGTTAGTTACACAATGCTACTACAATATAAATGATTTTTTAATAGATAACATAAAATGTAAAATTTAACCACTGTGCGTGATTGAAATAAGAATTGTGTAAAATATTCGCATGCCAAGTTTTGGTGAAATGTACGATCTAATAATAATATACTATAACACCATTGTAAACTACATTTTTCAGCGAATAAATATCTTGTATTCTTGTAAAGGAAGTCCTATTCTTATACGTGTGCAAGCAAAATATCTGGCTAGGTTTTCGTAATTAGGTAGGTATGTTTATGCATAATAATCAGTTATCCACTTTTTTGAGTTATTAACATATCTTGGAATCAGCGACGTTATCTACAACCCCCTATAATATAGTTTTTTTTAAATGTCTTGTTTAGTTCCGGTTTTATTGTTAAGCAAAAACAGTAATTAACATTTCTCAAAAAAAAAAGGAACGTTAGGTGCCAATATATCGAAAGTTACCAAAATGTACATGCGTCAGTTATGACTAGAAAGGCAGTATTCGAATTTGGTCAAATCGACCCTAAGTGGTTTAAGCCGGGTACTCACTAACAAGCTGTAACTGTAGCCTTTGCATGTTATGTAACCAAAAGTCATAGTGTGTTCGCGAGCTTGTCTCTAATTGAGCCGTCTAATTGAAGACTGTTTCAAGCGTACACACTACAACCTCGTTACTGTATCTGCACGTAGCAGTTACAGCTCGCTAATGAGTACCCGGCTTTAGAAGTCTCAGTTCGCGAACGTCATGATATCGACGGTAATTAACGTATAGGTATTATGAAAACAACAACTTTACAGAAAAAAAAATAGATTGAAAATATAACTCTGCACCTGATGGAGTTTATGTTTGCAAAGTCCTAAATCGGTGAACCTCTTTCAGTGTTATTATGATCTCAAGAGAATTGCTATTCTCCATACTACAGGGCCCTCATTTTAATTCAAGCGGAATCAATCCGATTGTGTAGCCCATCCGCAATATCATAAGCCTCGAATCGAAAAAGACGCAATTTCAGATCGTAACTTTGAAAAAGGTCAAAATCCCATCTTACCTCTAGAAGGCGCTGATCGATAGCCTGGAAGTAGTTTATATTATGTTAATGGCTGTGGATATCAATTAATTCCCCTTTAATGTGAAATACAAGCGGCCAGGCTTTTTCTTTGTAATATTAAACAAATATTGTTCATGAGCTATAATTATTTTCAGAACTCCGACAAATATGCATATCAATAGATGGAAGAAGATTTGTGTGTTAAAAAGTAACTTATAAGTTACCGCTCGCTAATATGGGTAGATGGTGTTAATCGTAATTGAAATAAATGAATAGCCGGCAGTATCCCTAAAGCGTGAGACACACTGACAATGTAATTCCGTGTATATTTATATGGACGACAACACACCACGAAAGGGCCCGTTCCTGGCTGCTTAGTGATGTATTGTCGTCCATATACCCGACCCGCACGCAGAGAACACGTGTTCTCTGCGTGCTTCGTGCTTAAAAATCAGTAAAATAAATCTCTAGCCAAATTCAATGTAGAATAAATGTCAACAAACAAAAACATATGATTTTTAGGGTTTTCATCTCAGATTATTTCTCAGTTACCACAATTTAAATATTTTCCTACGAAATTCGACTAGATTATGGATAATACTAAATCTTGAAGCTGTTTATAATGAATGTTATTCAACAGAAGTTTCAAATCACTTAAAAATGACATAAAAATGACGTGTAATTAATTATTTGTAAATTTGTGTCGTCTCTAGTGACTTTTCGATTTGAAGGGAGAGATTGCAAACATTCGAGTTCTGGTGGTAATTCAAGTTCAGAATCGGAAATAGATGCTGGAGAATATAATATGAAGTAAATTAATATCAAATAAAATCTTATAATTTTGTATCTTTGCATGTACCATTATCTACCATCTAGCAATAAATATTAATAGGATGCAAAAACTTATGTTTATTCCTAAAATATACATATCAATAGGTATTTTGTAAACTTTATAATTATTGACTAGGTAAGTATTACTTCTACATAACACAATTATCTACTTACCTATTTAAATTCCAATTACGAGAGCAGGGCGTGGGCAGAGCGAGACATAATAATGAGCATTGAAAAAAAAATGTTCTTTTCCTATGCCATCATTGGTTAACTAACAACGTTTTGTTATTAAACATTCTACATCGAATTTGGCTAGAGTATAGTTGATTTGTCAGAAATTAGAGTAGCTTTGATTAATTGCAGCTCGTCAATGTAAAACAAATTAATATTTGGTATATATTTTGGTATATTTGGTACTCGTCGCGAAATCTGGTATACACAATAGATACTAAATAACCGACTACGCTATCTAGTATCTAGATTTGCGGTTCTCTTGATTTAGGTCCATGGTGCTATGCAAAAGAAGTGTGAATAATAATTATTGAATTAATTAAATTTTTATCGAATTGATATTCAATTATTTTTTGTGAAATTACTCCACTAGTTTGTTATAATTATTAATACAAAGATCGAACACTCAGAAAAGATTCCTTCGATCCGGTCGGATTCGAACCGACGTCTTCTTGCATACCGTGCCAGACGCTATACCAACTAAGCCACGGAACGAACCAACGGACCTCACGAATTTTCTATGTGCTTGCGTCGTGTCTTTGTACTTGGTCTTTCAACGGTATGCAAGAAGACGTCGGTTCGAATCCGACCGGATCGAAGGAATTTTTTCTGAGTGTTTTTTCTGAGTGTCCGATCTTTGTATTAATAATTATAATAATTATTGAAATTTAAAAAAACATTTTTCTCCTTTTCAGGCCATCCTAACATCAATATTTATAGTAGTGGGCAACATTAAGACTCTAATAGAATTCGCGTCATGGTTCTTATGGTTTTTCTACGGTCTTGCAATGGTCGCCTTGCTCGTCCTAAGAAAAACACAGGCAGACAAAATCCGACCTTATAGAGTACCTACCCCAGTGCCATGTTTTGTACTTTTAGTGGCGATATTTTTGTCCGTCCTGCCAATTGTACATGACCCGTCTATTAAGTACCTGATTGCCATTGGTTTTATTGTGATTGGAGTCGCGGTGTATACTTTGTTCGTGTATTACAAGAAAACACCGAAACGGTTATTAAGTGAGTATATATTTTATTTATTTATAATTAAAAACTAAATTTAGGACGAAACGATGTTAAACGAGAAAAACGTACTTATTACAGACGATGTAGACCCCTTGGGCGATTAGTGTCAAAATGATCAGGGCTTTTAAAAATCTACGAAAATAATCATTTTGGACACTGCAAAAATTAAAACAAATTACTTTCCGGCCTTGTCCAGGAAATCGGCTACGTTAAACTTTTAAATATTTGACAATAATTGGATATGTATGTATTTGTATCGAAGTGGCTAAAGAAAAATGCCATAGAGCTTAGTCGTACGCTCGTTTTTCAACTATTTGTTTAGCGCGTTTGTTTTTGAATTTTTTGCTTGTTTTTAAAAGGTCTATAGTTAGGAAGAAAAAAGAAAAAAAAGTTGTTATATAGATCAGAATGTTGGGCGATGAAAAGGGAGGATGAAACAACTGTGCTTGTAGCGGAAATGCGAATGTTGAGATGGATGTGTGGAGTGACAAGAAAGGATAAGATAAGGAATGAGTACATCAGGGGAAGTTTAAAAGTGGCGCCAGTGCCGGAAAAGATGAGGAATAATAGGTTAGCGTGGTATGGACATGTCATGCGGAGGGAAGAATGTCATGTGACGAGAAGAGTGCTAAGTATGAATGTGGAGGGATATAAGAGGAAAGGAAGGCCAAAGAAAAGATGGAAGAATTGTGTGACAGATGACATGGATAAGAAAGGTGTGAGTATAAAAATTACGGCTGATAGGGGAGAATGGAAGAAAAACACATGTTGTGCCGCCCCACCTAGCGTGGGACAAGGACAGGAAGAACGTGGACAGGAAGACGTTAGCACTGAGGCGCTGTGCGCTAGATGATTAGATCCTGGGTTCGATATAGCCATTTCGTAACTAAAGTTTTATCTTTTTCAGGAAAACTAACAATCCTGACTCAAATATTCTTGGAGAGCGTGCCACCGAGCCGAAAAGACTGATTTTGTTTTAAGTTACGGAATAGGATACGAAGAAATGCTAATTATATAATAATACAATGCAATAAATAGTATTAGATATATCCAACTGTTTTAGAGTTCTTATTACTACAGATTGCAATAGGCAAAGTATTACCTTAACTTACAAGTAATAAATATAGAGTAGATTTGATGATTTGACTACCTCGGTAGCTTAACGGTCTACATTGTTGACACTGGATAGCCAACTTTTCACTTCACTAGCTCGGAAAGGAAATGGAAAAAATGCTTGTGAGCGTAGATTTCTAATGAGAAAGCATTTTTTCCACGCTAGCGTGGAAAAGGTTTTTGGAATCCTTAACTTAACGATGATCTGTGGTGCACCTTACTTTTTCTTTCAATGAAAAACAGCAGTAGAGCTGCTTGTAGTGCCACCTTACCTATTTCCGCTGCCAAGCAGTAACGTGAGCATTGCTGCGTTCCGGTTTGGAAGGGTAAGAGTGCTGGTGAAATTACGTGCACATGGGACTTGTCAACTTTTGTCTCAGGGTGACGGGCGTACATTAGTTATGTAATTTTATTACATATAAAAATAATTTATATCCGTTGGTTTATTTTATTCTTATTATTGGTGACATTAAATTGACAACGATAACTAATTTCGTTTATTAAAACTGATTTGTTATAGTTCAACTGTTTTTCTTTAATTACCATTTTCCTCGCCATAGTGAAGTGAAAAGTTGTGTGTTTCGCTAGGCAGTAAAGTTGTTTTGCGTCTCGTGCCTTGAAACCCTCGCTATGCTCAGGTTCTATTATTGAATCAAATAATCTGAGGGTCGTATTCTAGAACTCTACTCAATGCTTAAGTCAGGACTTGAGTATGATTCAAAGCACTAGAAATCATACTCAAGTCCTTGCCATTAGGGTCGTATTTCCAGTGCTTGTGTTGCCAGTGCAATCCTGACTTGAGCATTAAATAGAGTTCTAGAATACGACCCTGGACTCCTTTGCTTGCTCAGGTGTTAATACGAGCACTAGCATCAAACAACAACTTTCCAGCCTTGCTGTAAAACATTGCATCAGTTTCGGCTTTCACGATACCTCATCGTGTAGAATGGTAAAAGCCTTAACCCTTGACGGCGAGCGAATTAATTTTTATATTACTGTTATTTCATATTCACACTTTAGTAGCGGTAGACCTCCTTGTGCAACTGCCGCCTTACATGTTTCTGCCGCCAAGTAGTAATGTGCGCATTACTTAGTAGCTGTGCCTATGTGATCTTTGCGTTGTAAAACTGGCGCTGCAACTGTTATGGACAGGCGTGTCGCTTACCACCAGACCCATCACTTGTTGTTCTCGTCACTTGATGTCATAAAAAAAATATTAGAGGTTGTCCCTCATACATAACAGCGAACTGCTTGAAAATAATATAAGTCATTCGTTACTTCTCGTTTGAGCGGAAGAGAGGAAAATGAACCCAGACTCCAGATTTATAGGAACAATGGAGAGCTAAATGAAACACGAAGAAAATATGGTAACTGTTTATTTTTAAATATTAGAAACGAAATTTGATTACACACGTAATAATTTAATACATAATTTTTATTTAACTTTTATTTGGTGTGTAAATATATGATGTAATTGTAAACAAACAAACTACAGTTTATAACACTAATAATACGTTCCGAATGAAAGACTGACAAGTTACTAGTGGACCCTGAAATATATAAATACACTGTCCACCAATACCAACCCCACATTTTACGTTTAAAGCGTGAAACATACAGAGAACGGGCGCGGCACCCGATCTGCGCCCGTCCCGCACCCGCACGTTGTGTGTTGTCGTCCATATAAATTCACGGAATAACACCCGCCGTGCACCCGACCCGACACGCGCCCGTCCCGCACCAGCTGTCAGTGTGTTTCACGCTTAAATGTCGTATGACATATCGGCTAACACATGAAATGCCCTGCGTAAACAGTATAACAACGCGTTCAGGATGCTGTTGGGCTGCCGCGCTACTGCAGCGCGTCAGGAAGGTTCGTGGAGGCGCGCAACAACGGCTTTCTCGCTATAATGCTTGTGTGCGCGGTAGCCAGAACGTGCGTATTGGTAATGCTTGTGAACGGGTTTAATAGTCCCTGGCACCTGATAAAAAGGGTCATAGATGTAATTTAACAATTTCACAGTCCCCCATTTCATGGCCGAAATCAACCTCGTAAGTCCACCGGATTTTTTGTGAAATGCCGTTGTTTTTGTCTCTTACTCTCATATTATATCCAAATTATCTAATTTTTGAAAAATGACACCTATGAAATACATAATTCACAAATTTTAAAAATCACGGCTTTGATCTACAAGTTTAACCAAAATATTTGACATTGCAGTTAGTAGTTGGCGTGAAAGTTGTGTCAACTGCATGCAAATTGCATATTTTGCACTTAACTAGCAGCTAATCGAATATGGAATGCTGATGTTAGGCCGGCCACATACAGTCGGAACTCCGTTTCGAAATTCCGTTTCGTTACGAACTTCATTCGTTATAAACATCACAGACATACATTTATTTCCGTTCGGATTATCAAGACTCAGCTGAGAGACGGGAGACATTGAGTCCAGAAGTTCTCTCGGCGAAAATACGTAAGGAATTTACGACTGCGCGTTGCGACCCTTCAAAATCTATGCAAGAATAATACAGAAATACCTAATGAAAAAAATTCGGACGGAATAATACTGTGTGTGTGTTTTAAGTCTTTGTAAAATTTTGTTGCCTTCGAAATTCCGAAACGGAACCATTTGTATGTGGCCAGTCTTAGCCAACAATTACAGTCTGTCATTTTGAAGTAAAATGTCGGTTTGGTATATTTAACCATTTATGCAAAAGAATTGGGCACTTTAATCTTTAAATTTCTACAAGATGGCTATGAATAAAAATTACACGCGTAAGCTTTTTAGTTTGACCGCAATCTTACGATGTGACCAACGGTGGTGTGTTTTCACCTAAAACTGCCTATGCACTCTAGCTTTGAATAAGTATAATATCGGGATACATAGATTTTTCAATTATTTGCATTTCGTTAGGCCTTACTTATGTATATTAGGCCTTATTAATATTCTCTTAAGACAAGTTTGGTACCCTCATTTTATGATGGTCAATGTTTTATTTTAATTTTTTATTTCTATATGAATGGTAACTTAAAAAAAACTAATTGCACCTTTGGCGTCGAATGCTAACAACAAAATAAATTACTAATTTAATAACAATTTCTTCTATAACTTAAAAACGAATAATAAAAGCTATTATTAAAGTAGAAAATGTTCCGAACGAGTGTCAAAATAAACAATAATATAGGAATCATAACGGTGCTCCCACACTGTCACATTGGTAAATATTTTTAATAACGGCACATGTCCCTTATTAACGCTTGATAAGTTGATTAAAATTCCGCGCTATGGGAGAGTCGGAACCGACATTGCCTACAGTCTTTTTGATGTTTCTTTGCATTTGTCCAAGGGCCAATGCTTTGATTCGGAAATTACTTAGAAACATAATTTCTTAGGTTTTCACAATTGTTACACATTGACACTATTTTATCGGACCTACTAAATCGCGTATATTTGTTTTTTCAAACAATTCAGTGTCTCGTGCCCATGGGTAAGGACCCATATAAAGGTATAGAGCCCAAAACATTGGCGTGTTGGAAAAAAACCAATATGTACACGATTTAAAGTACACACGGAGATTTTTAAATTGCATCGATGCAACCGCTTAAAAATTACAAGTGTAGTGATACAATCGCGGGTTTGTATTGATGCAGTCGCGCGTTTGCATCGTTGTTAAAAGTAGCCATGTGTAACCGCTCTTAGATCAGAAAAATGTAGTCCCACTACTCAAAGTGGTTGTTAAATATTAGTTGAAATAAACAATTTAAACTGATTGGTCATCATATGTTTCAGTTTGGATTGACCAATCACATGATTTCAAAAACTAAAGTTTAGTCTTAGCATTGGTCATTTTGAATTACCGTAGTGTACGAAGTAAGAACACCTGCTTAAATAATTCGGTTACAATAGGAAACGGTCTGACAGCTGACATTCAAATATCATTATTAATTAAACAAACTCTAAAGGTAACAACACATACAAACAACTGCACATTTAGTGAAACAAAAGAAGTGAGAATATAAAATATTAATAGTAATAATACCTAATTACACACACAATTAGCAATTCTATTAACAACTTTTAACATCCACTTACTCAACTTTTATTGGGAAAAAAACTTAAATTAAAAAAGGCATATTTAGATTTTGTGTTAGACAAATTAATAAATAAATTAGTAAATTACAGTTTAAAATTGATTAGCAAAGTTTAATAAACTAAAAAAAGAAACTTCAAGTTTACGGAATTTACTAATAACAACCTATAACAACTCGACAAATTATTAGTAGGAAATTAAAATAAATTAATGAAAAAAAGACGTTCGAATTTTTTATTTGAAATTAGCCCTAAAATAAAAACGTAAAAAAACGGCCAGACTTTCGAAAAAACTAAAAGAAAATTGTGTTTTTACTTGCGCTAAATGTGCTGAAGTTTGTTCGGAATTCATTTTATTAAGAGCTTTCAGACCAGTTCCCGCTGTACAGTACAAATATTTTCTCAATATCTGTCAGCAGTCCTCAGATTTACGAATGCACCCGAATACAAATTTCATGCGAAATAATAATAGGATTTGTCATTTGTAATAATTTGAATTCGGAACTAAATACTTTTTGTCGATTTTATACCAAGGAAGTTAAGAGGGAGCAGAGGAAAAATTCCTAATCTTCGATTTGATTTTAGAGGGGTATATCCACATTAAAGTTAAAAATAAAATATTGTACGAGTAACTACATGATATATTCAAGCATAAACATCAATCAGAAACATAAAACAATAAAGTTTCCTCGATAGATAGAAATCACGAAATGACCTCTAATTTTCACATTTTTACGATTCATCCTCGAAATGCTACAGGTTATTAGGACAAAAATTAGATAATTAATTATATTTATGCATAATCGAGAACTGTCACTACGGATTTTTTTTAATCCCTTTACTTTTAGAGTTATTCCGCTAAAACGAATTTGGTACTTTTAATGCGCAAAATTCAACATCTCCTGTCGCATGTCACGCGAACTTTAGGCATATATATTGTTTCACAAATTTGGGCGGAGCCAACGTCAAAACTTTTTTGGTATGCTCCCTCTT